TAATAATATATATATATATATATATATATATATATATATATTAAATCACTTTGTTAGAAATATTTTTTTAAAACAAACTGGTCCATTCAATTTGTCCATTATATATTAAATGTATTAATCTTATTCGAAATAATAATAATTTTTTTTTGCAAATTTTATTGAATCTCATAAAATCCAACAAGTATAAGATTGAGTTTAAATTTTTTTTATTTTTCTATCACTATTATTTGTGTAATATTTTGATAGAGAGCAAATATCAAACTATGGTAAATAACCTAAAAGCCTACCATTAAAGTTAAAGAGAAAATAATGAAGGTACAAATATGATCAAATAACTAAAGACTGTTATTTCTTTATTGATAATCATATAATAGGGAAATATAATTTTGTAATAATATAATAGTTTATAAGAAACACATACAAGTGTCAAGTGTCATTATTCTAATTTTAAAAAATTAAAATAATACTAATAGATAAATAAAAAGTATCTTAATATCTCAAATGTATTCGTATAATCTTTTAATCATATGTTTATTTATTTATTTTTGGACATCTATTGGCCCATTCAGTCATTTATATACTTAATTGAAATAAAAAATAATAACTTGTAAAAGATAGAGCATAGTTTAAAATTAGCATAAACATTTTGCCCTAACCACTTTCTCTCTCATTCATTCTCATTTGAATATTCTCCATTATAAAAGGATATATTTTGCCCTAATGTATAAGTCTCTTATATTTTTCATATGAACCATATGATTCATTATTTAAAAACTATTAAAATAAAATATATTTTATCTTCAAAATTTCAATATCATCCCTTTACATCCATTTTATATTTAGTTATAAAAGAAAAACCTGTTATCTCTTTTGAATATATTATTTATAAATTTTACTCCTTTAAAGTAAAGAGATTTCACTTTAAAGAATAAAATATAATAATAACCATTAATTAAAAAATAAATGATAGATATTATAATTAACTTTAGATTTTATTATGCAAATATTTGATTTTATCACAATTTTTAATAGTTGATTTTCTATTAAACAATTGTAAACATACTTTATCCTCTAAAGTACACTCATTAATTTTAGAGGAGTTAAATCCATTATTTTTATTAGCTATTTGAATATATTATTTTCATATTTATTTCATTATTTAATAAAAGATCATTAATAGTTAAAAATAATTTTATACCATAATATAAATTGTTTATCATATATTTAAAATATAATCTATATATTTAAAATTATTTATTTATTATAAATTTTAATTATAATACAATAAATAATATATAAAAGTATTTATTTCTTATAAATTCATTAGTCATATAAAATAAATAATTATTATGTAATGCATTACACATGCTTAAAATGCTTGGAAGCTTATATGTCTATAATTACATTAGTATGATCTTAAAAATGTTTTTTTTAATACAAGTATTTTAGAGCGAACATAAGAAATACAAAACATTAAGAAATAACAATAATAATATAAAAAATTAGAAATCTCATATCATCGTATTTTCTCCCCAACTTTACAAGAATACATTATATTTCCCATAAATGTTTCTTATTAACTTTCGCAATGCTTTATAAAACAAATAAAAATATATTTAATATGGTCAAAATAGTAAAGAAAGAACATTCAATATTTTATAATCAGTAAGTAAAAAAAGTCATTAACAAGTTTAGAATTATTTAGAAAATTCGAATGTATCATAATGATTTTATCTGTTTCCAGTTATTATTTTTGTATAAATTGAAGTGCTAGGTTTCCCACTCACACATTCAGCATACACTCACTTTGGAGAGCAATGGCCGCAGCTTTGGACACAGAATTCCCCATCTTTCTCGTCACTGGCCCCAACAGGATGGAGATGGACCAAAACGGCGACGTATTGTTCAGTTTTTCCGACACCGTTTTTGGGTTTTGGGAGGATCTCGAGGCCCCACCGGAAAATTCATCAGTCTCCGATGACCCTTTTCAAGACGACGATGGTGATCGAGAAGAAGATGAAGATGAAGCTCTTTGCTCTGTGGAAAACAACAAAGTTTTCTGGGAAGAACAATACCACCTTCTCCGGGTATAATTAATTTCATACATACCAAAGTATTTTTTTTCTCTCCAATTTTTTTTTTTTTTAACCATGTGACCAGTAAGAAATATTTATTGATTTCGTGATTAATTTCTATAAGAAAATTTGATTGACTATTTTTAACTCTTTAATCATGTTTTTCTATCATAATTTATATATAAATAAAGAGAGAAAATTTGTTTAAATATAAATTTATAAGTGTTTTTGAGGATTTTTTTATATTAAAAAATACTATTTAATTTCTTAAAAATATTTATAATTTGTATCAAAATAGACTCCTTATTATCATAATTTGTGAAATAATCGATATACCTATAAAAATAAAAAATAAAAAATAAAAAAACACCCACAAGACACAAACATATAGAGACAATTCGAGTTTGAGTTGGTGACATTGTTTTTGACTTTGATAGGCAACTTTATACAGGACTAGTTCAATCGAGGCAAGAGTTAGGAAAGCTACAAAGGAGGGTCTAAGAGAATTGAATATGTCGGAGAAGCAGTGCATTTGCCGGCGAACGGTGGATGTTAAGAGTTGCCGGAATTGCTTGAGGAGGGAAATTTGTGATCGCTTGTTGAACCTTGGTTACAATTGTGCCCTATGCACATCTAAATGGAGGACTTCATCGGAAATCAAAATATCGGGTATATTTTATGATTTTCTTTTTATTTATTTATGTGTAGTAGTACTTCATGTTTGGCTGAAAAGTGATAAATAAAAAAAAAAGGTATCAATTTGATTATATAAATGAAATTGATTCTTCTGTGGGTTTTTTTTTCTTTAACAATTAATAGTATTAATTAATTTTGGATAACATGAGAAACACCCATTTAATACACACAAGTACGTACACGATCACTTAATTAATTTTGGATATCATGGCATGCTTTCATCCGATATACAAAGTTGTCAGAGTCAACTTAATATTTTGAAATGGAATAGACAACGTATGTTTGATCTTCATTATTTTACTAATATTAGAAATAGGATGCCTTATACTTTATCGCTTGTGATTAAGTTGACTAAATTAGTAAAATATAATTAATTTATATGATATTTAACTAATTAAGAGACCAAAATAAAAAATATTTAAACTCAAAGAGAACAGAAGTTACAGAACTAAAATAAGAGATTGTTAAAAAACCCAAAACATTAAAAAAAAAAAAAAATAGTTCATGATTCAGTGGACCAAAACATATCGGTATACAAGTAACTACTGTTATATGTACATGAAAATATAATTTTGTAATTTTGGTATAAAATGAAACTGCATGAGTCATTTCTAATGTCACTCAATAGCAATTACTTATATATATATGCAGCAGTGACGACTTTGTATAGCACAAGTAGCATTATTTAAATTTCAAAATAAAAGCATCGTCATAGGTGGGGCAGGTCTGAAGGACAGCCACATGTTCTTTAGGTATCAGCAAAATGAGCTTATAAAATGATCAAGTTGGATTAATTTTAATATTGTTCGTTGTTTTGCACGTAATTATTTCAGGGGAGCACACTTATCTGGAAGTAATGGATAACTCAAACACTAAAAAAGGAGAAGTAAAAGTGGTAATTGAACTGAATTTTCGAGGCGAATTTGAGATGGCACGAGCCAGTGAAGAATACAACAAATTAATTAGCCAGTTACCCGAAGTATATGTTGGAAAAATAGAGAGGTTACGAGTTATAATTAATATTATGTGTTCAGCTGCACAAAAATGCATGAAGGAAAAGAAAATGCACATAGGACCTTGGAGGAAAAAGAGGTACATGCAATCTAAGTGGCTTGGCATGACAAATAATAATAGGTCCAAAATGACACCACTTCCTATGGTTTACTCTGAACAACCACGAAATTCTAGGGCTTCAATGCTCACCTGTGATTTTTACTAGAAAATTAGTATTCATGGCCTTTATATGTGTTGCTCGTTGCTGAAGTTGTGTGATTATAAATGGTGAATAATTTTGCCCACTCTGTAATAGTTCTTTAATAGTTTATATATATATATATATATATAATTCTTTCTGTCCTATAAAAGTGCATTAAAAAATTTAAAATAAGTGTTATGTTAATTTTTAATATAATATTAATTATTTTTTTTATTTATAATTCTAATAATATAATGTAGAAAGTGGTTTTTATATTGTATTATTCTATAAAAAAATTAATTATAAAGTTAATTATGTAAAATAATTATTTTATTTATTTTTTAATCTATACAAAATATTTTAAGACATTGTTTATTATAGGAAAAAAATTGTATAGATGACTGTATCCACATTTTTTTTATTTCTGCAACCCCGGAAATATGATGGAAGTTTAAGTTTTTTCGTCAAACTATTGATGATGCCAAATTTTTAATTCTAAAGTTTTAATCATAATCATGAATATTAACTACATCAAATAATTATGACTTGAATATGTTATTTTTCTTGTGTGTCTATTTTTCTTGAATTTTTTTTATATACTGTGATTTTCTTGTGAACTTTTCTCCAATATGTTCTTAATTATAAACATTATTTTGACATTATCGTTATGGATGTGAGATTTTTAACACTTATAATACAAATGACTCGTTAATTTTTATTTTTTTTTATCACATTATATCGGTTATTATGTTTTTCTCTTCTCTCTATATTTCTCATTGGTGTTACGGGTCATTTTTGTAATTTTTTGTCATGACCTAGACGGCTAGATCACCACCCAGTTTTACGTGTAAATGAAGTTTTAGGTTTTATTTTTTAGTACGTCACACATATTGACATCGTGGTCATAAGATTTGTCAAATTGCTATTTAGTCCTTGTTTTAAGTGTTAGAAGCCCGTGTTTGATTGGGTCCTATGAAGGCAACCCAATGAAGTTAGGCCCACGACGAGCTTCAAGAGCGAAGGAGAAATCGAGCCCAAAATTAAAAGATCAACATTATATTCGTTCATGATATATATACCTATTTATATTAATAATACACCTCTATAATTTTTTTTCTCCAAAATTAAGAAAAACAAAAATATCCATATCCACAAATATTTACGGATAAAATCTATCATAAATAATAAATAAATAATCTAAATAGATATTTTAAATAGATATCATAAACAACAGATACAAGTATTTTTTTTACTCGTTTATAAATGAGACGGGGACCAATATGAGTATGATAATATCCATATTCATGGGTATCCACTAAATAATATTAATTAAATATTTATATTTTTATCTTATATTTTTTATATATTATTTTTAACATTTTAAAAAAATTATTATTAATTACAAGTTCAAAAATTAATATCAATTACTTATCTTTAATATTTTAATATACTTAACATCAAATATAAGTTTAAGGTTGATTATAATACTTTTAAAAAAAAAATTAAAATGGGTACATGATAGATTTTTATCTAACAGGTACAAGTATCTTACTACTGTCCCCATAGAATCCATTACCATCCCTATCCAAAATACTCTTATGTTGTGTTTGGATGAAGAATTTTACAATTTCAAGGAATTTTAAATTCTTGGTATTTGAATTACTTTGATTTCAATTTCTATCATTCTTAAAATATTTTGTTTGGATAAGTTAATTCAAATTTCTCAAATTTTAAATTATTGGGTTGGATATGATAATTTGATTCCGCCATGGTAAAATTGATTTTAAAAATATATTTATATGTTGATATTTTTAAATTAAATTTTATAAAAATAAATATTAGCTAATTTTTAAATATTTATAATAATTTTTAAAATTAATATTAGATAATATTTAATAATTTTAAAAATATTTTTGAATATTCAATAATTAAAAACTTGAAGAAATAAGAGATAAGATAAAATATATAAGTGAAATAAGAAAGAAAATATGAGGAATTTCAAATTCTTACTTTTTTGGGAGAATTTGAAATTCTACTATTTCAAGGAATTT